GGTGAACTTTTAAGACACACACCTGTTACAATAGTTTTGAGTTGCCCTTCAGATACCTGTTCGATTTTTCCTGCCTTCCACTTACCTGAGGATACAAGAAGCTGCAGGGCATGAATTGTCTTTATCTTACCAGCACCGGCGAAAAGGACAAAGTTGCTCTTTGGTCAAAATTGTTTTATCACAGCTGAAGCGTCTTCAGTGAGTCCGCGCAACTCCAAAATGTGAATTGATGAGAAAGGCAGTGGCTTCATCTCCTAAATTCGGAGAATTTGCCGTGTGCAATGGTGCCCATAATCCAACTTAAGAAAAAGTAAGGGGTCCTATATATTTTCCACCCATGTCCAAGTCAATCCAGGTCGGGATGGAACCGTAAGAGAGAGCATACAACAATCATTGCCCTTCCCAAAATCTGCCGAGAGCAACACTACCGCTCTGTCGACTGCATTCCAACCATTTTATCTGTTATAGGCATGAGCCCCCGGATGCACTTTCAGCCTGACCCCTAAAGCATGCGAATTATACGCGTGTAGTAAGAGGGTCGGCGAATTTCACCTAGCTAGCCAATTTTAATTTGGCAACACTATTCCAAGGAGGTAGAGTGTACGACAGGAGATAAAAGACGTCTTGCAAAATACTGCTTGAATTTTATTGACACTGCTCTAACACACTATGAATTTAAAAGGATCAGTAACAAGAAGATATTTGCAACTAGGAATTTAAGTCATTTTTGGAAAAAAGGTTGTTTCATCACCACAACTGGCGTATGCATAGACCCACTTAGTGTCGTTGTCATGTGTCTTATTTAATTGTACTTGCATCAGGTGGGCTCATGGTGCGTTCGCTGGCCGTTATGAGTTGAAATGGGAAACACTTGGCGCTGTAATAGAATCTCTTTTTAACAGTTGCAAATCTGAAGGTTCTAATTCACCTTAAACACCCAAAGTGGGCACCATCAATCGTCTTATGCCAGGAAGGGTCAACAATTGTTACTAGGAAAATGATGCATAGGGAGAACGCAAGGAGTGCATTAAGTTTGCTTTATAACTCAATTCGAAAACCATAGTAGCTTTCCGCAAATTTTATTTATGAAACCTTTTAAAACGCAGCACTAGTAAAGCTTGCCATCCAGATATCACCCTAAAATAGAAAAATCAAGCTCAAAATGATTCTTCCTTCATCATTACGAAGACTTTTCTGCCGGTGTTGGTTAAAATAAGTCAAAATTGATGTATCCAGGACAATCATGAGTGATGTCATCCTTCAAATACGCGTATATAAGCTGGGATGTTGTGGTCCGGAATGCCATCCATGCGATGCTGAAGTGAAAACTTTATTTCCGCTCCTATCAATGAAATTGCCGATTTTGAGAATCGCAAACTTGCATTTCAATGTAACCCTCTAAAACACCCATAGACTAATTTTCAAGTTCGGATAACATCTAGGAGGTAGTTACTGCACAGCAGAGCATGCTTACCTTTGGCATCTATATTGAAAACTTAGCTCAGGCCTCCAAAGCTCTGATGTCGGCTTCAGTTACAGTAAGAAGTAATGCCCTAATTTTTCGCTGCTTTTACTGGCACGATTTGAAATGATCTATCCTTAATGATAGGCGATGTTCTGGTCATCTAGTTTCAAAAGTCACACGCACTAGGTATTATAATCTGTAAATTACCACACCCAGAGTCAACCGGTAGTCGCTTAGTGCAAATGTGCCAACCCTATGCAACTTCGCATCTTACTTTCATTCGTCATCTATCACATTACATCGACATCTATAATGCCCATTCATCGCTCTACTTGTCACTTTATATTACATTAGGTGGTCCATTACTTCTCCACAAAGGTTTCTGCGGCTTACGTGGGCACGCATTTTTACTTCACAAATCTCGTTAACGTTGAATTTTGCAAGCCCTCTTTTCAGAGCATGTATCCAGACGCTGGATTGCAATAAAATGGCACGCTGCCCAGGACAGGGCGCAGTTTAATAACACCGGTGCTTCCTCCACTTGTTGCATTTTCGAGATTCGCCTGCTCTTGGTAAATAAACGCCTCATTTTAGGTAATGAAATGCTTTTGTGGGAGAATTGCAGCATATGCATAGCGGAGCTACTTAGGTAAGGAAGCATAAATGACAGCCATTTAAGTCCGAAATCATCAGTACCAAAAAGCGGCAATGTAAATACATCCATTTCACTAGCTGCTGTTATTATTCCTTAAAAAGTATCACAAAATTCTATTCTAATGTGATCGTTTTGAGCACTTATCTATCTCCATCTCGTCCTCCTTCCGCACCCTGTACGGAGCAAATTATGGCGGCTGAAGACCATTAAGTGCAAGAAGCTGAACAGTTAAAAGTACAGGAGGAAGGATCGAAAAATGACTTTGTCGTTTATGTAGGCAGGCGATAGTTTGTGGATAAAAGGCGCTTGGTTATGCTGACAAGTAGCATATGCTTCATGTTATTGTCACTCAGAATTTCGCGAATGATTAGGTCATGTGGCACACGCAATGGCGAGTTATGGGCAAAGTAGCATCAAAAGGTTGTCGACTTGGCTGATGACTCAATGCTGTAGTAGTGCCAATGGAGTTAGGCCCGGTTAACAAACCGAGGTAGTGCAGCCCTAGTGCATCGTAAGTCAAAATCAGTGGAGCCATCTGTGGACGATGTCCCTGTTCGCATAGAAAATGGTACTTAAGCTGTCGTTTAAACTTTTCCTTACGTGAACAATTTCAAAAGTACCTTCTAAGAAAGAATGAGTGCATCAAGCGTCCCTGCAACCTGTTTGTAGTCATTGTAGAAAATCCCCGCCCATTGAGGAGTAAAGGTAACCCACCAACAAACTAGCCTAGATTCTAGCCACACTAAGCCCGCACGTACTCACACAAGGCAAGAATAGGAGCGATAACTCAGAGTAATAACTGCAAGTGGCTGGCCAAATCGTTGAGCCTAATGCAAAGGATGATTAATGAAGCTGTTACTCTGCCATTCCATAAGTAGAATCCATGCTCTGCAACGGTACAGCAAACAAATACAAAGCCGTGTCACTTGCTGCTTCTTAATGGCGATGAATAGCCCCAAATTCATCTCGTTTTACTCGAAATCTACCACTTCGTCACCACTGGCAGCGTACTTCCAATCAGTAGATGAGATGATTGGAAGGGATGACTACACCGAACCACAGAGCCGTTTCGCAAATGAGTAAGCTTTAACGACGTCATGTTCGTCGTCTTATCACCTCCCTACCGGTGGGCCACCTCATTTTACCACATAAAGCCTTTTAAGCGCCATATCTCGACTTCCTCCTGCGTCTGTCGACTGAACTCAAAAACTGGCACCACTCCTATACGTACTTTCGCTCTAATCAATCAAGTCCGAGCTCGCTTATTATTGGCATGTTGCATGCGATACGCATCCACGAGGGTGCGTCGCGGTCGGCGATACTACACGAATTGGGATGAGTTGTTTAACATCAAACATGACTGATTTAGTCGCCAAATATCTCATGTGAAATGTAGTGACATTGGTGGCAGGTATTACGGTGTTAGGAGTAACAATCGCCATTATGAGTTATTAACAATGAGTAATTAACAATGAAAGGCGGGCTGACAATGAGTCAAATGAGACCTAAGTAGGC